TGAACAAAAAGATTTATCGATTGGTTTATCATTGAGTATCTAAGGATACTCTAGGCAAGACTTTAAAGAGACTTACTCTTAAGAGAAGTGCACACATATTTCTTGACTATTCTATGTAACTCGTAAGTATGAAAAGTTTTTAAATTAATTTGGTATATCGCAATTTCTGTATAACTAAACTGATTACAAAAGTATTCTAAATAGATTTAATTAAAAGTCTTATAAATAAATTAAGTATTCAAACAGTTTCATTAGTGTCAATAATTTAAATAAAAGTTTAACTGCGCAAACACAAATTTGAAGTCTAATTGAATTAAACAATATTCAGTGCAGATATTGACAAATTTAATCTATACTCTTTAACTTGGAAAATGTTACGTTAGGGCTGCTATTAAGATTCTTAGGAAAGTGCATACACTGACTCGGAGACTTGAGACAGCAGCTGTCTCAAGTATTTTGGGTCATTTCTATAATATATTTAATTCAAGTCGAAGTATTATGCATAGTGAATACCCCACCAGAACATAGATACGCAAAGTTTAAGCCTCTAATGCATATAGCATTCATTGTTCAGCTTTTATTATTATTATTATATTATATTTATTATATTATATTTTATTATTATATTTTTTAGCAAATTGCTTATGGAATACTTAAATAAATATTTTAAATTAAAGTTTGTTTTTTTTTTTAATTCATAATCAAATACACAAAGTTCATCATTCTGCTTAAGGATAAAGTTATATATTTATATGTGATATAATAAGATACAATTCTATATGCTCTATATCAATATGTGCCTCACATGCCCTACTCACGTGACGTATTCGAATTTAATTATGCTTCAACTATAAAACATATCCATGCCTAGGCCACGCTAAAAGAGGATTCCATAGAATAGAATAAGCAAATCAAGCAATTGGAGAATATTTCCAACTGATATTTTTACATAGATTTTTAATTCTCAATCACATCAATATCACTTGATGGCAGATCAAGCAAAACTTCATTCGCCTATTATACAATCTAACACAACAAAAGTATTTTTTAAAGACTTTGATATTTGAGACTTTGAGCAAGTCGCCTAAATGCCACAAAGTCGAGTGGAAAGTAGTTTAAAGGAATATCGCCTTATTTCATAACTCTTGCCCGCATGCTGGCCCACTTTAGAGCTAAGTTAGCAGCTCGAATCCATTTGTGGGCTCAACGCATAATTCTTACCAGCTGAATGGGCCCACAATTTGCACAGCACAACGCTAGCTTCTATGGAGTGCAGTGGAGTGGCGTGGAGCTCAAACGAGGTCGGACTGCAGTTGCAGTTGCAATTACGTGCCGTTTAGTTACCATGGAACATTATGGTCGCAACATGTTGATCGGGCTGCATTCCTCACCTTGCGCCGGATATAAATTAAGCTCGAGCGCTAGATGAATGGTTGGCTGGGGCCTATGCCATGTTATCTATAGCTCCGCTGGGACATTGGCCTGTTTTTAATTAAGAATTCCGCTTCAAAGTTACGTCGCGCCGAGTGCCTTCACGCTTTCGTCTCGTTGCGTTCCGTGTAGCGACGAAGCCAAATCCAAATACAAATACAAATCAATCTGCATATTGAAAATGGCGAAGCTATCAGAAATATGCACATAACTTGCTCCTGGTGGCTAGTGGCATAAGGAGCCTCCGGTTCGAGACGTCGAGTCCTTGTCGTTTCTTTGGTCGGCTGCTGCTGCACAAAGCAAAAACTTCGCCCAGGCCCAGCGCCAGGATACTGGGCTATTTTTTGTATTTATTTATTTGCTGCCTGCTTGCATGTGATGGCAAATTGAAAAACTAATTTCCAACAACAAAGGCAATGCAGGCGCTGCTCCAAAAAAAAAAATGCTTTGCATAAAATTTCCATAATACAATTTCGATAATTTCACAAGTCAGAAAAACTGCAGTTGCCTCGTTGCAGCTGACAGAGAGGGAAACTTGGCGCTGCAAAAAAGTCCCCAGCTCCCAGTCGCAGCCTCTGACAAGCCATCAAATTTGGTTAGCGGAAGGTTGACATTCCCCTTCAGATTTTTTGCCACATTCTCAGTGTGCATGCTGAAACAAGGTGTGAACAGCGACAGGCAGCATCAAGGATACGGCTTGACTCGCGCTTTGGCAGGCTGCACAACACGGCTGACGCCATCAATCAATGAATCCTCTCCAACTGCCTCTCAAGATCAAGATTAGTTAAATGTTATTCGTTGCGCTAATAGAAATAAGCTGGAAGGTCAAACCAAAGCTATGCAGCCTGCTCCCGGTTGTCCTTCTCGCCGCGCAAACATAGTTGAAGATTAAGAGACGCCTCAAGTGGAGCTGGAGCTACGAGCAGAGACGCGAAAACTTGAACTTATGCACGTTCCGATGCCACTGTCAGCTATTTTTCCTTAAACTTTTTTCCACATGCCAACTTTGCTCTTAGCTTTGTTTTCCTTCCTGACAAATGACAAATGATGTCGGCGCATCCTTTTTTCCAACTCGGCAATTCGACAGAATGTGTGTGTGTGTGTGCGTGTGTGTGATGGCAAGTGGCATTCTGGCGGGTCTTCCCTGCGTCATAAAACTCCCTTATTCAAATCCTATATCTTCTGCGATTGCCAGCACAGAGCATCTATAAAATAAGACACAGACAACTATTGACGTTCGCCGCTGCAAATGCCTGAGTCTCGAATGTGGCAAAAGTTAAGCTGAATACCTTATGCAGTACAATTTATTTTCCATATTTTATGTCTTCTTATGTAGCTGATATCGATAAATGTAAATATCGATATGCTTGATTTTAAAAGTGCTTTACTTAAATATTTAGAGCGCTAAATAGACAAAATGTCCTTTGTGAGTTCTCGAAGGGACACAATGTTTATGTTTATTTTATCAATTTAATAGTGCTTTCTTAAAAGAGAATTTTCCCACTCATTTTTGGTTACAAAATAGTTAAATTTATTTATCAATATTTTGGTATTTAGAACACATCACGCAGAGACTTAGAACTTAAAGGTTCGTTTGAGAAGGACATCAAGAATTATGAATGACTATTTCTATTTGCTTCTCTTTGCCCACTGACAATCATAATGACTCTGTATGTCAGGTCTCACTCTCACTCAACAGTCGTGATTGACGAAGTCACAATTTGAAGCGTAGACTCAAGACACAAACTCACTCGGATACAAGCTCCACAACAACTCACACACAGCTCTCAGCCTGACAGCAATACTACTGCAACAGCAGAAGACAATCATGAAGTGGCAAACTTAGAAAAGAGATTCTAGTGATAATTTTATAGTATCACATATTATTATATTATATTATTATGTATTATATTATATAAATCACAAGGGTCAACAGCAAATCAATTGTCAAATTTTAAGTTTCCAGCAGTAAATATCAGTTTTTCCCTGTTAATTAAAATTCATAAATAAAATAAATTATTAGAACATATAGTAGGTATTATATATATATATATATATATATATATATATATATATATAATATATAATATATACATACTATAAGTTCTAATAATTTATTTTATTTATTAATTTTAATTCTTCTGTTTCGATTTTAATTTAATTTAATTTAATTTAAGCAACTTTTATTATACAACGCATTCATTCATTTAAATTTAATGCAATTTACAAACTGCAAGCTCTATTAAAATAACTTTCAACTTTATGTTGTTTGCGTGCTCAACAAATAACAAAATATTATAATTAAAACACTTCCAAGTAAGAGCCAAAATTGTAAAATAATATTTTTATTTACATATATATTTATATAAAAAAATATGTATATATATAAATATTTTTATATGTGAAATGCAAGTCAAGAATTATTTATTAATACACGAAAAAAAAGTATCTTCACTTTTTTAAATTGGGTAAATGTCAATTGGGCATTTCGCACAGATAATTATATATACATATATTGAGATATATATATATATATATATATATATATATATATATATATATTTAACAAGTTGAAGAGCTTTTAGCTTATTAGATGACGATTTGCCATGAGTTGGACTAATCTCAACTAGCATTTGAATGCGATTAGCTTTTGTAGGCAAGTCTCTCGACTAGTTTATATAACGCAGAATCTAAAATGCAATTTGCAAGCCAAAATGTCGCTCGGACTTTGATTCCATGCGAAAGTCATTTGATTGCAGACTTCGTATCTGTGTGTTTGCTCTGTGGGCTTATTATTACTTTGTCTGTGTGTGTGTGTGCGTGGGAGTGTGTCCATGTGTGTGCGTGCGTGTCTTGTTGAGGCAAATGCAAGCATGCAGAAGTCATACATAAATTTAGCCTGAATTTCACTTTTAAGATATCAATTAAAGCCAATAATAATTATTGAGTCGGGCGCAACCGACTGCACAATGCTCGTTCACGGTCAACTTTTAAACTAAGATTCTAATAGATGAACCCTATAATTTATAAGTCTACTTGGGGAGGACATCAACAGCGATTCACTTGCAGACGAATGCGGCGCAAAAACTGAGGCAGATTTGGGATTTTCTGATTTGCCACGGCATGTGGGAATATATATATACATATATATACATATAAATATATATATATATATATATATATGGCATCTACTGATCCTTCACTTGCTGTAAACCAATGTAGCCAATCTAAATATACTCCATATGAACAGAGCAACAGCCTCTATGCGTCTCAAATAGAGAGCTGAAATCACACAGTTCCAGGCAGCAAACAGAGAGCAAAGAGAGGCAATTCATGCGAAAACAAAGCAGATTATTTGAGCAGATTATTTGAGTGATAATACAATGAAATACAAGATGCCCACTCTGAGAGCCTATTTTGGCCCGACTTTGACCCGTTTGATAAGCAAGTGCTTTGAGTTAGGCTATTTCGCACTCGCAGCAAGCTTCAGTTTGAAATTGTTGTTTCAGAATCACAGTCTTCAGATTGGAAATGTGTAGACTGCAAATTCTTTCACTCATTTCATTGCTATGCCTGTCAGCAGTGGCAGGTGAGAGCTCTGTAAGTTCACCCTTGAGTGAGTGTGATCTAGTCTGACTTGAAGTATCATCTGTGTATTGCAGCACAGCTCTCAGTGCGGAGGCTTTTGTTTCAGCATAGTGGAGCCTCTGCTGCCATATGTCGCCTCTGTTCAAGAGAAGGAGAGTCGGTTCAGCGCGTTGACTGCTAAGATTCAGCAGCTCGAGGCAACTATTGAGTCTTTAGAGAGTCAACTAGAACTGAGCAAATCACATCAAAGACATTGCTTGACCAAGGGCGAATTGCTGGCCTCCAACCAAGACTTGGTTAATAAGCTCCAAGAGGCAATGAGAGGGCAAATTGTAAACTGCAAGGCAGATCAACTTGGCTCGGAGCTGAAGAACCAGAGTTCTGAAATCCTAAGACTCAAAAGCGAAGCTCAAGCAGTGCCTGAAAAGCGGCTCTCTGCAAAGGAGGCAGAGGCAGAGGCAGAGTCTGAAGTGGCTTTCCCCTCAAGTTGCATAGGTAAAGAGGATGGAATCTACGAGCTGAAAGTGTCCGATTCGAACCCCTTTGAGGTGCCCTGCGATTCGAGTCTGGTCGATTCCGGTTGGACAGTAATTCAGCGTCGTCTAGACGGCTCTGTAGACTTCAAGCGGAGCATGCTGGACTACCGCTCGGGCTTTGGGCAATTGGAGGGAGAATTTTTCATTGGCCTCGACAAACTGCACCAATTGACGAGCTCACAGCCACACGAGCTCTATGTATACATGAAGGATGTTAAAAACAAAATATTATATGGACGTTATGCTAACTTCAGCATAGCCGGAAAAGAGGACAACTTCAGACTCAATTCATTGGGAAGCTACGAGGGCAACGTGAATGATGGCATGTCCCACCATCTCCATTGGGAGTTCTCAACTTTTGATCATGATCACGATTTGTTTCCCAATTACAATTGCGCACTCTTGGCTCAATGTGGTTGGTGGTTCAGCTCATGCTTCGACAGGTGAGTCAACATGACTGAGTACAGGTAAATTGAACTGAATTCCTGAACTTTGTTTTCTTTTTTGTAGTCTCAATGCAAAGTATGATACGGCGCGAGGTGGGATTCAGTGGCGCAATTCGAACTATCCACTGAAATTTGTTCAAATGATGATCAGGCCAAAGGAATAAGAACTTATGGAGGCTTTGTGGCAGTTGCTGGGAATTCAAATAAATTGAATAAATTTCATTGAAATAAGTATTGAAATACGTATTGTTAATTATTTTTTAATATTTTCATTTTTTAATAATTATTTTTTAACATTGTTTAATATTTTCAGGTTCTTAGCTCTGTGAGTTATAGATATAGATATATATATATATATATATATATATATATATATATATATATATATATATATAATATATATATATATATATATATATATATATATATATATATATATATATATATATATATATATAAAGAAAAAAACTTCAACTATAGCAGCAGCTTTGCATGTTGTCTACGAGTCATGCACTTGCCACAGAACTTAGGGTATCTGCTTGTCGTGCATTTCAAATTAGTGCTTTTTATACCCTGATTGAAAATGGGAAACCTATACGGAAAATATTAATAAATAGGACTGGGATCAGGGTATCTCCTAGTCGAACACCCCGACTAGAGCTTTCTTACTTGTTTAATTTGCCAGGACGTCAGCTGAGCAGGCACTTGCCAGTGGAGGCTATCTTCTGTCCTTCAGCTACTGTCTTCTATCTTCTATATCTATATATACAAGATCTTACCTAGCTTAGCAACAGACTCATAGTAACAAAGCAATTATTTAGCATTCTGATCAAGAAGAATATCTCAATTAAGATATCCACATAGCCATCATGTGCGCGCACAAAGTATTTATAGATTTCTAGGTCTTCAAATATTGATTTATAAGCATTAAGTTTTGAAATTGAATGATTCTTTAATGTTAGCACACAGAATATTCTCATGCTTTTGGGAGCCATGGTGCGAGCTCAGAGTGCAGTGAAAGTGAATTGGGCAACTGGCCGAGCAGGCGGAGGACGAGCCATAGCCTGGCCAGGGCGAGCCACAGTTGAGTTACCATAGAAATGAGTTATTTCTTAGATAAATCATCATAAGCAAGTAGCAGCATATCAAGTCACATAAAGGCAGACGCGAACCGAGGCTCTGATGGCGATGCACACATATCGTGGCCATAGACTGGCTTTTGGGCGAAAAGAAGAAGCAGCGCAGAGTGAATGCTGGGTTATCAGCCATGAATAGCTTGGCCAACTAGTAGTTATGCTCGACTAAGATATACCCTGTGATGGTAAAGCTGCGTTGAGACTGTGTGATTGCTCCTTTTTGAGTGCAAATTGGTAATGCAATTTTCATTAATTTTTAAGCTGTGAACTAGTTCCAGTTCAGGCTCATTAACACTAAATACTTTTGAGGCAGCTGTAGAGTCACTCATAATAGCTCAAAAGAACATATCGCTGAACAGCTCAAAAGAACAAATCGTAAATGAACTTTTGAATCACTCAGATTACAGAGTTTCGTTCATGATTATTTGAACTATATCGACTACAGTTTGCTAGTTCATTTTGAGACTCATTCATTATTTCATTATTTCGAATAACAACTCATACAAATTTCTTGCTCATATTTATCTTAAAAGGCAATCAAAGCTTGTTCAATTGCAAACAGGGTATCGAAATAAACACAATTCTTCAGTGGCAGGCCACAAAGCTAGAGAAAGTTGCAACAAAACGCAACTCCATTTTGGATATGGGTTCATTGCCAGCAGCTGTCGGTGGGCAGGGTGGGCACACATCAGGAGATGGGAGCAGACGTTCCAAGGTGCAGTGGCTTAGCTTAAAGGGCAGCCCAGCGAATTTCATTATCAATTAGAGCCCGGGGCTATAATGGAGCTGCTTCGCCTTGAAGTTCAAAGTCGGCAGCAAAGGCTAATGAGTTTGCTGGCAAATCCATTGGCCAGCGGGGCCGTCGGCAACGGGGCGCAGTCTGCAGTCAGTAGCCAAGTTTTGGATGACGGGTCTGCCACCGAAATGTCAATTGCTGCATGCCTCTGGGCAAGTAATTATGTTTGATGACTCGCCGGTCGGGCACGCTGCACAGCACTAAAAGCAAAAGCGAATAAGCCAGATGAAGCGACGCAGCTCAAACGCAGATAAGTAACAATGCCAAAACCCAATTCCATCTACGACTCGCCTGCCAATGCGGGCGTGCATATATGCAATTACCTATATAGGAATTCGAATACCAAATATCCAACATAGATGTGAATAAAATTGACAGTAAATGGCGACATTAGGCCTCGATGAAATGAAATAAGTTTATATTTTTCACAATCAATTTCTACATTTCAGTTTTTAATCTATTCAATTTATTATGGAGTGATAATTTTGTGCTACTAAAGCACCATCTAGCGTTGCGTAGCCAAACCTGAGGCTAAGCAGTTCCATTTACAATTTTATGGCAAACTGTGTCGAAAACATAGAACAAGCAGTATTAAAATAAATATAGACATCGAAAACCAAAACATAGAACATAAAACGAACATAGCATATCATAAACATAGAAGAGAAACATTATAATTCAAAATATAGAAAAATCATCGAAATCGAATTCGAATGGGAAAGTTAAATAACATGGAATATAATACGCAGCACAAACATTTGGAATTGGAACAACGGCAATGCTTGTTACAGCAAGGAGTAAGCAGTTCAATTGCAGCATTTCAGTTAAAAATATGCTTAAGTAATATTTTTACTATTTAATTGCTTGATTGCAGCACCTAACAGAACTTAAATAAACTGTAGAGAAAAATATGTTTTTTGGGGTAACTAAGAAATTACACAAGAAATTTCGCAGCTAAAGCGCCCTCTATCAATGTAAAAACAATCATAGTAAAATATATCGAATTATCTAACAACGACAATATCGGATAAAATTAGCAAGCAGTGCACAGTTTTATAAGCCCACATAATGTGAAATTTATCCAAATTAATCGCTGCGATGCATTGGGGACTCGAACCATTATGGGTTGTGTCTATGCTTTCTTCTGTTTCTTTTATTACATATATAAACTATTTTATTAAGTCTTTTGGAAATATTTAGTTAAGAAAAGTCACATTTCATCTAAAGAATGGATTATTCTTTTTTCATTAGACATTTTATTAAATATTTCGTACATACACACTTAAAGATTAACAACCACATAGTTCTTAGGGCAGATGCTTGCATGGGCGTATTCAAGGACGGTCGAGTGTACGAGTTAAGCTAACAGCCAGAAGGTGGCGTGGCAGGCCATATAAAGTAGATTTATATGTTTCTGTAACGAATACTCAAATTTGTAATTTCTTTGATTTCGGATGTCTCACCCCTTTAAGCATTAGAGACTTATGACACTTGAATGTCATTATTACGCTCTAAAAATTTGAATAAGAAAGTTCACTTAGCAGAAAAGTTTTTTAACAATTAAGTCTCCATACTTCAGTCTGCAGCCCAAGCGCAGTCGCGGCGTCAACTGCGCAGTATGCAGAGCGCCGAGTGCTATACGATCGTGCGTATGTGTGTGTGTTGTTTGTAATGTACATCATCTACTCACAGTATTCAGGGTATCTTCTAGTCGAGCAGTCTCGACTAACGCACATGCTTCTTCATTCAGAGTTAGTTCTTTTTACTTGTAATAAATATGTGTAGAAAGTCAATATACCTTGAGTTCCATTAAAATATAAAAACAGGGTATATACATGTATGAAGGGTCCCAAACAGAGTATATTGGTTTCCAGCCATTTCTGAGTTTCTCATTTGCTTGCAGGACTCGGCAACTCGGCAACTCTGACAGATTGCCATGGCTACATTTCAAAGGGCCCAAACAAAGTGTTGCCCTATGTCATGCGTTTGCCGCAATTTGTATACACAATTCATGGAAAATTGAGGAGCATGTTTGACAAGAGCAATCCGAGCAGCTTAAGTGCAGCGGGCAGCATACAGGAGATAGCCGGACGCCTGGCCGAGGAGCAGGAACGTTTGCGCCAGCTGGAGGCTAGCTCCACGGCGCCCAAGGAGCGCACCTTATTCGTGCTGGGCAGCAAGTGTGTGGTGAGTCGAGGCAAGGCAGCTCCACAGTTCTATAGACTGAATAAGAAACTCTGTTCAGGGCAAGTCGATGGCTATAAATAGGTTTTTCGACCGGGAGGAGCTGACGACGCGTCCAACAATGGCTCTGGAATATAGCTATGGTCGGCGCATGGGCAGCGGCAAGGGTGCACAGGTGTTGAACGTCTGGGAGCTGGGCTCCCTGGACAATGCGGAGCAGTTGCTGGAGGTGCCGATGCGCACGCATGGACTGCAGCAGATGTCCGCCTTCATCATGATCGATCTGTCCCAGCCGCAGCGCGTGTGGTCGGATCTGGAGTGTGCATATCGAGGATTGAGGGACACGGCACAACGGATGCTGCAGCTGGCAACGCCGCAGCTACGTGAGGACATGGAGCGACGCTCCTTGGAGCGAGTGAAGCATGCGCAGCAGGACCTCAACTCACTGGAGCTGTTGCCCTTTCCCGTTGTCATTGTGGGCGGCAAGTACGACGTCTTCATGGACTTCGAGCCGGCGCTGAAGAAGCACATATGTCGCTGCCTGCGCTCCATGGCGCACCTGATCGGTGGCGCCGTCTTGTTCTATTCCCACAAGCTGCCCAAGCTGTCCAAGGTGCTAAGAGATACCATCAACCATCTGGGCTTTGGCAGCCCCACCAATCCATTTCGAGGACATGTTACTGACTACAATGAAGCGCTCTCCATCTGGTTTGGCACGGACAGTTGGGCTCAGATTGGCATTGGGGAGATCGCTGGTCGCTGGAGTGTGGAACGCATCGGTGCCACACTCAGCGTTGAAGTGCCACAGCTGCAGCTAGAGAAACAGAAGCAGCAACTGCCCCAAGACCCAGCCAAGGATGCGGGCTTCAAGGAATCCCTAATCGATGATATGCGTTCCCAGAAAGACGACGAACTCGCTGCTATTATGCGAGATGTCAACTTGCGTGGCAAATTCGAAAGTGTGATTGACTAAATGAGGGTATTACTGGATTGTTATCACTCGAACTTAACTATTATATGGACTTGCTTGGGACTTGTTAGTGCTCGCTTGGGAATGGATTTACATGACTTTGATAGTTGTATTTATATATTACTTTTACTGTATATTTATATTTATTTCGAGATACTGTTAATATGAGGTATACAAAATAAAAGAGAAACAGTTTAGCAACCTGTTTATATTTCACGTGATACCTATTAACATCTGCTATCAGCCTTAATATTTTTGGAATTCCTTTCCTTTCGGATTTTACGCGACTATATTTGTATGTATATATGCATATCTTGACATCACTTTACACAGAAGACATAGAAAACGCAAATGCTTGGCCAGTTTTTTTTACAAGGTTTATATGAATTGAAAATACAGAGTTTACTGGAATGACCAAAAAATGAATTAGGTAAAGAAATTATACTAAAACTTGGTTTTATTTTGACACTATCAATTCTTTCATATACAAAATGCCACATCATTCAAAGGGACGAATCGCTCTAGTTCTATTTTCCATTTGTCAGCTCATTCTAGAGCTGTTAGATAAGTGTCCTAACTAGGTGTTTGGTTTTCCTTAGAGAGTGTCTATATTTATAGCATTGACGATTCAAGTTGTCTCTTCTCAAAGCTGGTCATAAAAGGTAAGCGACAAAAACCTAAACGCTTACTAACTAGCTAATGAAAACTAAAGTAAAAATATTCAACAAGCATCCAGTATTTCCTTCTTCAAACTGAAGTTGTTGCTTGACTTATTTTTTAACCGATTCAATCTTATATCATAGAGTTTTATTTCCAAATAAATATAAATTCAATAAATTGATTGTTGAGTAAACAAGTCTTCTTATTGTTCAGTGATTTTGTGATATTTATTTGTATAAGTGGAATGGATCCGCCCACCTCACCGGCCAGAGTTGTGAAAGTATTGGGTCGTGTTGGGGCCAGGGGTATTTTCACGGAAGTTCGCGTTGAGTCGTTAACATTTCCGCGCATGCAAATGCTCAAAGCTGTCAAAGGTGAATTGATATTCTGTTTAAGTTTTTGCTCCAATTCTAATAATTTATTCATTTTTCAAAGGTCCCGTTCGTTTGGGTGATATTATCACTATTAATGACGTATATCAGGATATTGAATTTCCAAAATAGTAATTATGTTAAAAGTAGTTAACTAAATTTCGGAAGTCATCAAAATTCAAAATTTGTCCAAATTCGCGCTTTTACGTTTCATAAGCAGTTGGCAGCACCCCGAACTGAGTTGCATTGGCCAGAGCTTTAAACTTGTTCCGTTACCGTTAAATGCAGAAGACGCTGTTCGCAAAAGCTCTTTCAAATCAGCGCTCAACGCAACTGCGCTGCCCACTCTCTCAGGCTCCCGACAAGCAAACACAAGCCACACTCATTGGCGACACCACGACTTCGGGTACGTTTTATTTTCTGCTTTCTGCCATCGGCTTTCAGCTTTCGGCTGCTGCTCAGTTGTTGGTGCGCGCTCGCGTATCGCAGTTGTTGCGTTGCGTTGTTGTCGAGTGGCGGCCAACGCCAGCGTTGTGCGTTGTATACTTTTGTCTGTATGCGTGTGTGCGTTTCTATATGTGCTGTGACCGATTCACATACACTCGACAGCAGTTAAACTCCGTCAACTGATTTTTAACCAAAAATATGATTTAATTAAAAGTGTGAACGCGGCCACAAAAGCAACTAAGCAAAACAGATAAAAGTAAAATATTTGTGTTTATGAAAGCGTTCGAGTCTTTTTCGGCAGCGCCTTTTCGCTCAACTTCGTTGCGGCTCGTGAAGTTTTTCGTTGCTGTTGTGTAATCGCACGAAGCGTGCTGGAGTCGGAGTTGGAGTTGTGCGTGCATTTGTAGTTGTATTTTACGATTGCACACACACATATATACATACAACTACAGCGGAGTATTTTTAGAACTTTAAAGCTTATTTTTTTTTAAAGCTTAATTTTTTTGAGCGTGAACTTCAGCTTCCACATCGACAAAAAAATACAACGAGCAAATAGCTCAAGCTGCCACAAAACCTATTAAAACAGGTGAGTTGCCATTTAAACAGGCAATTATTTATAGCTTTCTATTAACATTCCCTTACAAACAAAATATGACTGCTCCAGTTTTCATGCTCCCTCGCCGTGACACATTTCGTTGGCGAGCAACAACAGCAGCCAAAAGGCAACAGCCGAAATCGCCGTATTATTGATTTTCCTTTGCAGCTCTGCGTTGGCGCTCTTATTGCTGCCGATTTCGTGTCCCCGCAAACTTACACACACATATATATATGTATGTATGCATGTACATATATTTCGTCAACGACGAAAACTTTCCTGCTGCTCCGTTTCCGCTTACCTTTAACAGGCGTTTTTCTGCATTTGCTTTCTGCTGTCACATTGCCAAATGCCAAATGTCGTTGTGTGTGTATGTGTGTGTACTTGCCTGCGTGTGTGTGTGTGTATCAGTGCTTTACCATATGGTCGACATTACTGCTGAGAGCTTCATCCCCAGAATCTCGATGGAGATTCCCAGTTGTTAGCGACCTTTCCCACTACATCTATGCATTGTCCTATGCTTGTGTTTGCCGCCCACTCAACTGCCTTCACTAACATTTAGATATATCGAAATATATATGTATTTTACTTCTAAATTGACTGAAACTGAATGATATTGATTGCAACACGGTTCAGCTGGGAATACGTTGCTTAGGCAGATATGCAAAGTGCATAACTTATTTTGAGTTATAAAATAGTTTTGAGCATAGATAGAACTTATGAATATCTCCGTCATGAGTAGCTTCCAAATTCATTAAATGTATGTAATGTATTTTATGATTGTTAAGAATTTCTTAAGTACAATTTTAACTGAATTTAAAGTATTTACAATCCATATTTTCACAATTTCAACTTTTGTTTCAAAACGTCGCTGCCGATACATTGACCTTAGTGCCGATGAAAGGTAAATAATACAAACGAAACGATTTGCACTCAAATGCTAATTAGGCAGCCAAGCGGCTTCAGATTAAAACAAAAGGAATATAAAAAGTGATAATTAAAGCAAATTTGAAACTTTAAGAATTATATTATTAGTAGTATTATTCAAACGAATTTTCATACAGTTTCCAAAGCTGTTTTACTTGGGTTCTTAAGAGATATATGAAACGAAAGCTTGAAGCTTTTTTTGTATATTAACTTTATATAGAAATATATATATATTAATATATGTGTGTATCTATATAAAAATATGTGACGACACTTTCTTTTCGTATAAATATATATACATATATACTTCCCGTAGCTCCTCGCTGCCTGTTTCATCCTCTCAACATGCTTTATAAGCTGTCCAAATTACAGTTGTATATCAGCCAATAACATTATATTATAAATTTTAAACCAAAGCCATTTATCCAGAACAATAAATTGATAGAAACAATTTGAAGAGAGCTAATTCTTGAATTATCTAAAATCAATGACACATATTTCCTAAATAAACATTATTAAATACACATAATGAAACGAAATTCAAATATATTTGCAACCTTTTCTGTGTCGAAGGTTGTTTGATAAGCTAAGTGCGGGCTAACTGCCTACAATGCCATTTGTCATGTTCGCTCGATAAAAGTTAAATTCTTTGATAGGTAAAGCCGCAAACCAAGAACATCTAATCTGAGAATTATATTGAAAAGCTTTCGCACTTTAGTTTGCCTTTGATTTATGTTCACAAAATGAAAGTGTTCAAGCTTCACAGACAGAAAACAGACAAATTGCTCCACAAGAAGAATCATTCGTAAATTTATCTAATTTATCTTTATCGAAGAACATATCTCTATACATATGAATACAAATGATTTGGTCGCAGTCATTCATCTTGTGGCTTCAATAAGGCACAGTGATTTCAATCCTTGTATAGAAGGAAGCAAATGCACATGGCTTAGAGAAACATTGGGAAAATGAAAAGGGGAAAGGTTTCCCCAGCTTGATACTAGATTAATCTTTATAGAAGTTCTGCTCATTCCTTTTACTCCAATTTGGAGGTAAAACTAAGTTACCTTCGGCTGTATTTGTTTTCCTAACTAGCTGCACGTCAACCATGACTTAATGAACCCCAGCTGTTGCACTCGAAATCACAGTCAAAGTTTTTCCGTTTTTTATGGGAAGTAAAGGTTGAAGAACGGTTCGACAATCACTGAAGCGGCAACAACAACAACAGCAGTGACTTAAAGTTGTTGTCTCGCTGCACTCTGAGCACTCTGCGTGTATCTTCGAGATACATTCACTTACTGCCTCAATGTGCTCTGTGCTCTATGGTCATAAATGAGCAGCCAAGCATGACAGCGCGCACACACAGTGGCATCCGCAAAACCTTCACTTAGCCGTGTTCTGAGCAAGCCAAAGCAAGTTTGTTGTTCTCACAACTTCATCGAGGCCCCCTTCCATATGGGGCCTGTAGTTGCGGATGTCGTGGATGTGGCTGCAACACTCGTAACGTGTGCACAACTTGTACTTAGTATCGCAGTTCCTTAACTGCCTTTCATTCAACATTATAAGGCGCTCGCTGCTGTCGCCTCTGTCATCCATTAGTAGAGGTAATTAGCTGCTTCAGCTAGTTGCACAGTTTCCAAACAATTGTTGTATACGCTTCTGCAGGTAAGACAATTCAACCTTTACACACACTGTGTCCTTTATAACTGGAAACAATTTTAAAATAGCTGCTTCTTTATGCTTAACTTATAGTAATATAAGATTGCTCTAGGTAAAACTTCCCGACTAGGAGATACACTGAAGCCCATGCCAAGCAGTTGTTTCAAGATTTTTCCATCTCAACTTCAAGGGTCTAGCTCCTATATATTACAGATTGAAGCCCTAAGCAATGATAGTCCTGATAAAGAATGGGTACTACCACGCCTTTTTATTTGACTTACTAAAGAGTCAGTTGTAGGTTTTATGTTGAATAATGACTAGTTTCCCTCATCTCATCTTTTAAAGGCATTGCCTTAAAGCTGCATGTCATTTGAACTGCACCCACCTTTTGACTTTTGAAAGCCGCAATATTTTGAAGCAAATGCTGTGCGGCTTCTTCCCACGTAGAATCCAAAATCAATCGAATAATTTCTGTGTAGGCGGATGCGTCCACTGTGTGTCAATTAACCGAAAATGGTTCAAGTAAGTCGTAAATCAAATCTAAGCCTTACTTGAATTCGCAAATAAACAAATTAAACTCTAAATGGGGTTATTAGGGGTAACTTAAACACGTTGCCTTGAATGGATTCAAAAATGTATAGAGGACGCCAACAATGATTCTACATGCAAAATCGATTCGAGCTCTACAACTGTAAAAGATATAGATTTATTACCCTTTCACCATGCCCACATTGCACATTGATTTATGATTTGAAGTCGATCGGTATAGAAGATCAACAGCGTAACCCGATTATTTCACTTTGGGATTCCAGTGTGCCATGAACACTCATTTGTATGTGAATTTCTTTGGCAATTGATAGATTACTGAACGGTTATAATATCCCTTTAAGAAAGACCCTTATTAACGTTGATACAAACTCTTTAATTGATATCAATCAATGGACAGTTTATTAACTTTCATCGTTTTACTAAAGCAATCAGACCTTGGCCAGGGCTCAACCTAATGAATAAGATGGCAGGCTCAGGGGTGGTTGACTGTTATTGGTGGTTGTTGCTGTTTACTTTACGAGCTATTAACATGTCAGTTAGCGGCGAACAGAAAGGAATTAGTCAGAAGTTCAATTTGGGGCAGCAGGGAACGAAAAACCAGGAACTGTCACAACCAGAAACGAGAGACGGCGGCTCGAAGGATTGTCTCTGTGCTCAGTTCCTTTAGGACTCGTGCACTCGGCACGTTTTTGCATGATTTCCGTCAATGGCACACCCCCTTGAACACCACCCACCACCCAACAAGCGACAGCCAACAGCCCAGACGGGGCTAACAACCCCAAGACAAAGGCGCGTCCAGTGTTTGTTCGACGTAGTTATGCCGTGTGTGGCGCATTATCCTTCAGCCGCGCAATGGCAGGCGTTTGTGTTGCAAGTGCAACTTTTTGCGGCCCAAGACTTGAGCTGGGCAAACACCAAAGTTAGGAAGCGCGTGCCAGTCATATTTCCCGTGGGAATATCTAAGATTTAA